GGTGTACATAGACTTCTAGAGCTCCTAGTTCTGCAAGTTTCTAGTCACTTAGAACAGTAAGGGTGGCGCTAGGTACATACTTTCCTAGCAGGTTCCCCATGCTTCCGATGGAGAACACTGAGCTGCACTATGTCTCCCTCCTGTAAACAGATAGCCAAGATATTCCTCACTGGTTGGTGGTCCTGCTCTAATACCAATTGGGACTTGCCTATCTTTTCTGCTCTTACTGCTACATATAGCCACAATTTTCAGAACTGATGCTGAACGTCTCAGCCTCATCCTTTCAGGAAGCAGAGGTACATTTTTGGTAGTGCATGTGGAGGGGGATGGAGCTATCCTTCGGCACTAAAGGAAAAGGACCCAGTGAATTCTTGGTGAGGTCAAAGTCACTGGTGTTACTAATGCACTTTTTTATAGGATTCTCTGGGAAATGTGGGCCCTTCACAGAAAAAAATGTGCATGTGCAAAACAGTCTGCACGTAAATTTAGAAAGCTCAAGGTCCCTCAGAAGAATTTCCATGGACACCAGAGAACCTATCACAGAGATAAGGTGGACAACCCAAGGCACTGTGGGTTTTTCTGTATTTTCAACATCAGTGGTTCTCAACCCCAGCTGTGCAGCAAAATTACTTGGAAGTTTTGTTCAAAGCAAAGCAAAACAAAACATTTCCATTCTGGAAATGTCAACGTGCAAAACTGTAACACAAAAGTGGGGGGGTAGTGTGCCCTGGTACCCAGTCTCAACCTGCTTCCACATCTGTGAAAGCCAAGGGAAGACAGTTTTGTTGGTGACCACCTTTTCTATGAATGGCACCATGGACATCTAAGAGAAAAACTGCCCCATTTTTCACATACCACAATACCATTACTAAACCTTTAAATTTTTAATTCAATTGCAGTGGTGAGGTTTTCTCATTTACTCTCTTACATCTCTTTTGTAGTTGATGTCTTCCCTTTTGAACCTCAAAAATGTTGTCCACACATTGCATTTGGGTAACATTTCTTAAGTCCATTTTTTTTTTATTTTTTTGTTTGTTTGTTGTTTGTTTTGGTTTTTTGAGACAGGGTCTCACTATGTAGTTGAGATTGACCTGGAACTCACTATGTAGCCCAGGGTGGTCTCGAACTCACAGCGATCCTCCTGCCTCAGCCTCCCGAGTACTGGGATTATAGGCGTGAGCCACCATGCCTGGCAGTCCATTTTTAGTTTATGACCACTCCACCCACCTCTTTCTTTTCTTCCTTGACCTTTATTTGTTGAAGGGAAGGGAGTTTTGTCTTTAAGCATGTCCACCCAGCCCAGGCCTAGAACAGCGAGGGTGTGTCTCCAGCCATGGATGATGCCTTCCACCACTTGGCCTTCGAGCAGACTTTAAGAACACATCACTGTTGGAGGGCAGGGACAAGGGGGAAAAAATGAGAACCAAGACCTGTCATGTAAAGGTATAAGATCCCAATAATGAATGTAATTGTACTGTATACCTAAAATGTACCAATAAACTCAATTTAAAAAAAAAGAACACATCACTGTTACTTAGATGATGAATGAAAGTCAGGTTGCCACTTAACCAGCTCTGCTGGAAGACTTGCGGGATCCACTATTTGGATTTTGTGGAGACCTCAGAAATGCAAGAAAGGAAAAATGGCTAAACAGAGGGAGTAGGGGTTCTCAGCCCCTGGGTCCAAGAACACACAGCGTTCCATCAGTCCTCGAGGCCCTAACGCGCCTCTTTCCTCCTGCAGGCCCAGTCTCCAGAGCTCAGCCTGGAGCTGCCACCGCGGCGGGCAGTCTCTCTGCGCGCGCGGCCAGCGCATGGGGCTATGGCTCTGCTCCCCG